AGGAAGCATACAGGACAAACTTGACCAGAGATCCACCAGATAATATTGATTATTCACGGAACTCGTTCAATGCTATGCGAATGCCAAGCATATATATCTATATAGCTTGGAATCAGATTGGGAATAGAAGATCCCCAGTATAACAGCTGGTGGTGATTCCGCGGGCATTATACTAGAGGAAGGAAAAGTAAGATAGGTACGAAGGAGTACGGGCAGCACCACCGTGCTTATCTACTTGGACCAACGCTGACAGTTCTGGAACTGAACAAAGAGGGCGAAGTCGGTCTCTGAATCCTCTCTGACCGGACTTGAGTGATTCGAGTGACTTGATTGAGCGAAGACCAGAATGACCCCCGGGCGAGAAACCGGAATGTAGTTGGAGGAAGGCGAAGCGAGGGGAGGATATCGGTCAGACCTATGGTATAATGGCCGAAAGTACCCAAACCAGTAGTTCGTAGCACGAAAGAATAGCGTAACAGGCTGAATTAGTTTCGACCCGCTGTGCTAGAGTGCTAAGATATGACCGACACCGGGATGGACTACGGAGACGGAGTGAGGCTATGTATATCTCTTATCAATAAGGGATGCATGTCTCAACTGACCATCCACTAGAACTTAGTGGTTCATATGCTTGTGTACTCCGTACTTGAGGGACTATCAATCGTCTTTCATGTTGATTTAAGCGTGATTAAGCGTGGATATGGTTCTAGGGGCGCCAAAGTCATCGATATCAAGTATCCTACAGAGGGAAGTCTTATAGATCCGTCCGGAACCGGTCCAAAGAGTGACACCGAAAAAAAAGTCGGTGAGACGAGGAGAAAAAGAGGGGGGAAACGTTGAAGATCAGGCAGACGAATTGGACGATTCGAATCGAGTTCTGCTGGGGCATTCCCCTGTCCAGAAGAGAAATTGTCTCGTGGAAAGGAGATGGTAGTATGGTGAGTACCGTGTACATTATATCCTGGAGATATTTGGGATGCTGTATTGTGCTTGTTTTGGGCAACATCCATGTCGATCGGGGGTGCACTTTACTTGAGAATTACCAGAAATACCGTTCCACAGGTATTATGCTGCAGCTGAGGTAAGCCACTGGTCTAGCCTATTACAGTAATTATTGACACCTCAGGCAAAGATTAAACACTACCCACCAATGAGAAGACACCCGCTAACCCATACAAGCTAGATCCAATACGGCCATGCGGATCCAGAACCAGGGTCTCCCGTATTTCCATCCGTCTCCATCTCCATTTTTATTTTTTTTTTCTTCTATTCTCTAAAGTTACCACTAGGGAAACTGATCAGTGGTCGAGGTTGGGTCTGGTCCTTATAGATACAACTCATCGTCCTCGCTCTCTCCCCTCCTTTCTCTCTCTCTTTTCTTTCTTTCTCTCCAGTCTTCCTACTCTTCATTCTCTCTATCTTCTTCCTCCCGTCTTGTCCTTTTGTGTACCGGTGTTTGCCTGCACAACTCTATTCTTACACTCCTAATCTTATCGCCCCATCCCACTTCCTCCCTTCACCCCCCCCATACACCGCCACTATGTCTGCCCGTCCTCAGAATATTGGTATCAAGGCCATTGAGGTCTACTTCCCTAGCCAGGTACGTTCTGCCATAATATACTTCTCCTTTCGGACAATGTTCTGTCAAAAGACAAGCTGTTTCTGTCTGTATTGGCCATCGGGTACTAATCAGATGTATAGTGTGTTGACCAGGCCGAACTCGAGAAGTTCGATGGCGTCAGCCAGGGAAAATATACCATTGGTCTCGGCCAGACCAAGATGAGCTTCTGTGATGACCGTGAGGGTAGGTCAAATCATCCCTTTCAATCTCTCGGGCTATTGGACCGAATGCTAACTATCCCCGCTTGATAGATATCTACTCCATGGCTCTCACCACCCTCTCCTCCCTGCTGAAGAAGTACGAGATCGACACCAAGTCGATTGGCCGTCTCGAGGTCGGTACTGAGACTCTGCTGGACAAGTCCAAGTCCGTCAAGTCCGTCTTGATGCAGCTGTTCAAGGACAACACCAACGTCGAGGGTGTCGATACCGTCAACGCCTGCTACGGCGGTACCAATGCCGTCTTCAACAGCATCAACTGGGTCGAGTCCTCGGCCTGGGATGGCCGTGACGCCGTCGTCGTGTGCGGTGACATTGCCCTGTACGCCAAGGGCGCCGCTCGCCCCACCGGTGGTGCCGGCTGTGTGGCCATGGTCATCGGTCCCGATGCCCCCCTTGTGTTTGAGCCCGGTCTCCGTGGCAGCTACATCACCCACGCCTATGACTTCTACAAGCCCGACCTCTCCAGCGAGTACCCCGTCGTGGACGGTCACTTCTCCCTCCAGTGCTACACCGAGGCCGTCGATGCTTGCTACAAGGCCTACGCTGCCCGTGAGCAGACCCTGAAGGGCCAGAATGGCATCAACGGTGCCAAGGACGACGAGTCCAAGACCGCCCTGGATCGCTTTGACCACATCCTGTTCCACGCTCCTACCTGCAAGCTGGTCCAGAAGTCCTACGGCCGTATGCTGTACAACGACTACCTGGCCAACCCCACTCACCCCGCATTCGCTGAGGTCGCCCCTGAGCTGCGGGAGGTGGGCTACAGCGCCTCTCTGACCGATAAGAACGTGGAGAAGACCTTCATGGCCTTGACCAAGAAGCGCTTCGCGGACCGCGTCCGCCCCAGTCTGGACGTCCCCACCCTGTGTGGTAACATGTACACTGCCACCGTCTACGCGGGTCTGGCGAGCTTGATCACCAATGTTAAGTTTGACCCGAGCGAGCAGAAGCGCGTTGCGCTCTTCTCCTACGGCAGTGGTCTCGCTGCTTCCATGTACAGCGCCAAGGTTGTCGGTGACATCTCTTACATGGCCGAGAAGCTCGACTTGCACAACCGTCTCAACGCCCGTAACGTCCTCGAGCCCCAGGCTTATGACGATGTAAGTCATTTCCCCTTGGGACACCTATCTTAGGGGAATTTGCAACTGACCTTTACTTTCCAGATGTGCCAACTCCGTGAGCATGCTCACCTCAAGAAGGACTTCCAGCCTGCCGGTAGCGTTGACACGCTGCTTCCGGGAACCTACTACCTGACCAACATTGATGACATGTTCCGTCGCCACTACGCCATCAAGGAATAGATCCATCCTCTGGACATGATCGATCTTCTCCTTTGAATCTTCTCTTCTCTTCTCTTCTCTTTTCTTATATTCCCTTTTTCCTCTTTCTAGACGGCTCACTAGATTCCCTACCCGTTACGACATTTTTTTTTTTACCGCTCACCCGCATAGACCCCATTGCAAATAGCATGTGTCTGGTTCTTTATGATTGTTTTGATGTGATGCTGGTTTGCTGCCGGAGACGATTGTGATCTCTTCATGCGGAGCTAGGGAGATGCTCGGGCAGCGGCGCTGGAATGCATTCGGATTCATGAAATCTCAAGATATCTATTAATTTATTTAATCATTCAACGATTTGTTTATTTCGTCTTACATATATATATATATATTGATTTTCATACAAATACAAGTGTGCACATCTGTTTTATACAATCCTGAAAAGTAGTTACGAACATCCGATGCCTGATCACACGTACACATTTCATGCAATAACCCAGATCCGCTCGAACGATGGTCTACACCGACCTAATTACTAACGGTGACAATGTATGTTCATCGTCCAGAAGAATGGTCTTTGACAAATTCAAGACAAGAACTGAAAACAACAGCTTGAGGGCTAGCTTGGTGGCCAACAACTCCAAGCACTCCTCCCCCGGTATCATTCCTAATTTATCCCCTCCCACACATCACTCCCGGGCTTTCGTCCCTTCTCTTACCTGACTAAACCCTGAACACCATACTGAACAATTTCAAATCGATTTTATCCACCATGTTTACAAAGAGAAAGAGAAAAAATTAGAAATAAGGTCAACCTGGTGCAGATTCGACGGGGGGAACCACTCAGCGCGCCGAACGCCCGCTAGGAACTATGGGCCCGGCGCGTACTGCAACCCCACTCGCAGACAGTTGATTTATCGACCTTGTGCCTGATAAATGCCATAATTATTCCTAAAATAGAATTTTGTCCTGATGCTACCGCTCCAGATGCTGGGCGTTCCTGGACGGGCTGGCTGGTGTAGCCGTCCTGGTGCTGATCCACTGGTAGTATCAAAACCCTAAGCGCCTCGATCTGTGATCATCCTCCCCCTCTTTGAAGAACCAGCATACCAGTCATTCAGACTCTGCTTGCCGCCCACAGTTAAGCGCCAACCATCAGGAATGTTTCAATCTATTGTATGATCATGATTTGCCGCCATTCGGATTAATTTAGCTCCCAATACCCCAGAATAGCACGAAACACCAATGTTGCCGTTTATAGATTCTCCCCCTGGACGAGAACGTACCATCCTCAGAGAGGAATAGCGGATGATCAAGATCGGATCTGAAGATCTGAAGAAGATGCAAAATTTAGCAACATTTGACGCGCGACTACAACATGAAACACTCGTGCCCGGTTGAGATCCCCCGGACATGCGCGCCTCTGCGTGTCCACCCTCCTAGGAGTTATCGGATGGCACCATGAGTTTGGATCTCCTGGCAAGCACAGAATATCCGACCCGACTAGCCGTTTGGCGTCAAGATGGAGCTTCCTCCATGTTTCATGTTGACCTATTCTGGTCCTGTCCGTCGGCTACTGGGCCTGTTCCTGGATCCGCAGGTCCCCTGCCTGAGGAGCATTTAATATCCAAACGCTTCCCCTCGAAACGAATATCAGACTCATCGCGGTTTTTTTCCAGACTAGAACGAGTGGACTGTGATACCCTTGTTTCGTCGTTGCATACGCGCTCGCTTTATGTCTTCTTTTCTTCATCTTGCCTTCGTCTAGATCGATCTATTGGCAACGACCGTCCTTGGACTTGTCACGGGAAGCTGGTTTTCCTTATATCGCCTGGGTCACCTCATCCTTGTCTTACTTGACAGTGAACCAGTCTCGCCCTAATGTCTTTTGAATACTGCTATTACCGCCCTAGCACGCCTCCCCGCGTGCCATTGGGGGAGCTGCTTGGGACGGGGCACAGTCGACACGCCTCCGACTCATCGATATACTCCAACGACTCTTCCCCCTGGTCTGCGGTCACCGCGACGACGAGCCCCGGAGGCGAGTCTCCTCCCCGCCACCATCACGGACCCGCACTTCTGCCTAAGATCCGCTCACAGGACGTGGTGATTGAGCCGGTGTCCGCTGGTGGGCCGCAACGGCAACGCCTGGTGCTGTCGAACACCAGGAACCCGCCAGGATTCCTGCAGTACCCGCCGAGTCGTCCATCGAACCAGCATACCGGCATCGAGACCGGGGATTGCTTCCCGGACGGCGTGCCGCTGGTGTCTCCTGTATCCGTCCCGTCGCCCATGTACGGGCCCCACAAGAGCTCAACGCTGTCGTCCCCAGTGAGCATCACGCCGTCTCACAAGCGCAGGGCCACCTCTACTGGGCATTCTCGCTCCCGCTCGAGTCCCAGTGTTGACGAGGAGACTCTCAAACGGTACGGCTACCCGACGTATCGTCAGCTCCCCCACTACACGGACCAGGCGCAGAGCTCCCCCACCACGCCAGCCACCCCAGTGACTCCCAACATCGTGGTTTACCCGCCCTACCAACAACCCTGCGGAGGGGAGCTGCAAGCCCCAAGGGTCCGACCAAGACGCCAGGTGCCGCTGGTCCTCCCAGGCTCCCCATACAGCTACAACCCCATCCCCAGCGCCCAATGCTCCCCCCTCGGCATCACCCAGCCAGCAGAAGCAATAAGCCCGCACTCCACAACCCTCCTCTCCTACCTAACGGCCCCAACCCAAGCAATCAACCTCGTCCGCAACGTCAGCGTCGTCCCAACCCGCGGCATGCATGACTACTTCTGGTGGGACATCCGCAACCTGCGCAGCTGGACCTCCTTCTCCCTCTCCACATTCAACGAGATCAGCGGCCTCATGAAACTTCTAACAACAACCATCCCCTCCCACCTAACGCCCCACGTCCCCGTCCCCAGCACCCGCCTCTCGCCCGACTCCGAACCCTCTCTCATAAACCTCATTCAAGACATCTACGCGCCCCGCGTGAACGCCGCGCTGGCAGTCTCCCAAGGCCCAGACCACCTCCGCCTCTACGCAGCCCCCATCCCCCGCACAATGGCCAACAGAAACTACGGCGGCCCGCACTTCCTCGCTAATTACGCCTCGGACACCGAGCAGACGCTTGCTGGTCTTCCCCGAGGCCGCCTCGTCGGCATCGCCAAGAGCTTCGACCGCTGGAACACCGGCATGCGCAATGAGGGACCCCACCGCCGAGTCGAGTACCTCAAGGGCCTGGCCCACCTCCAGCGCTGCATGCGCGAGCACTCCTGCCGCTACGGCTTCATCATCACCGAGATCGAGCTCGTCTGTGTGCGCGCCGGCTGCGACGCCGGCGACGACGTGCCCTACTTCGGCTTCCTGGAGATCTCCGCCCCGATTCCCACCAACACCGCTGCAACCACACATCACGCCGACGCACCACCCAGAGGAAGCAGAGGCGGAAGCACACCTCCCCCATACAACAACAGCTCACCAACCCCATCCTCAAGCGACGACAGCTCCCTAGCCAGCCAATCGCCCCTCCTCGACACCTACCCAGACAATCCAGCCCCATCAGGCCTCCCCGTCCCAATGACAGCCAGCTTCGCGCTGTACTTCCTCCTAATGCTCTCCAAGTCGGTGCCGCTGCCGTCTCAGCCATCGTCGCATCTCAACGTCGGCGGGCCGGGCGCACTCACCCGCCAGCGTATTCTCCTCGACGGGAAGGATAAGTGGATCCCGGAGCCGCAGATTGGGGAGAGGAGGGATGCGAAGCGCGTTCGCGGGTGGGTGTGGCCGCAGGATGCGTGGCATCGGCGGGAGGGGGGTGGTGTGCCGCGGTCGAGGGCGGGTGTGGGTGTGGGTGTGGGTGCGGGTGCGAATGCGAATGGGACGAATGCGGCGGGGACGCCGAGGGTGAAGAAGTGGCATAAGTGATTGTTTGTCTAGGGAGGAATTCGGGGTGGTCTTGTTTGAGTCTTAGCCTGTTTCTTTGTTGGTGTCTGTTGGTGTGGTAATGTAATTTGTGTCTTGTTGTTGAGGTATGGGTTACAGTATTGGTAGGGCTATTGTTGTGATTCAAGTTGAGATAGGAGGTATTGAGAATAGGATACACGATCAGAGCATGAGGATTGGAGCATAAATTAAGTACAGTAAAACAAGATAAATTTATAGTCGAGTACCTCTCAACCAAAGCAATCCAACCCCGGGGTAGGGGAGGTCACGGCTGTAGTAGAAAAGACACGATATCCATTTTAGGCCAGGCACACAAGGTCGATAACCCACCTAATATCTGTACTGGCTTTATTAATTCCCAGAGGAAAGAAAGAAGTGTGGATACTGACTTACATTACTAGATAGAAAAGTAATGATCGCTGATAATCAAAGCGACTTCATTCCCCCAGGGTCCCCATGATGCAAGCAATCCACCACATCCACTGACAAGACACTGACTTACCCGTTTCGAAAGACAAGGACCTTGGGACGAGTACCCTGGGGTTAACTATCACTCTATGAACAAGTATGACTGACGCGATGTCCCTCGACAGGCATATAAAGCGTCTATCCTCTATCTATCCCCTCGCAAAACACACTCAATTCCACATATACCAGAATTCCTAATATTCCACAACAGCGCACCACACATACAACGTCCCAGCAGCTAGTGCAAAACATGGTAGACAAAAAAGCTACCTACCCCCCCATCGTCGATGTCCTCATCGTCGGCGCCGGCCCCTGCGGCCTAGCAGCAGCAGCCCGCCTACGCGAAGAAACCCCCTCAGCAATCTTCACAGACGACGAACACCAGCGCTACCACTGGATCAACAAGCACAGCGGACGGATGCCGCTCGTACAGGCTCACCACCGGCGCGTCAAGGGCGTGCGTGCCGAAAAGTGGAAGACGTACAACTCGCGTTCACGACAGAGGACATACTCGTCGGTCTCAACGTCGTCCAACGAGTCCGAGGCGCCGTCATTATCATCATCCGTGGACTCAGCGCCGGATACCGAAGAAGCAATAATGGGTGAGGGGTCACTTTCCACGATCGTGCTGGACGGCACGGGACAGCGGTGGATGGAGCGGTGGAATCGCGCGTTCGAGACGCTGGAGATCGAGCAGCTGCGCAGTCCGATGTTCTTTCATGTGGATCCGGGGGATCGGGATGGGTTGTTGGCTTATACGGGGGAGACGGGGCGGGAGGGAGATTTGTGGGAGATTACGGGGTGTGTGGGGAAGGAGATGAGCAAGCATAAGAGGAAGAAGAAGATGATGAGGTCGAAGGCGCAGTATGTTTTCCTTTTTCTTTCTTTTCCTCTCTCTCTTTGTGTGACTTTTTATATGCTTGTGGGTTGAAACTAATGTCTTGAAGAGCAGTAGGAGAAGTCGAGATCGATGAGCGAGACCGCAAAGATTACTTCTCCCCTTCGACTGGCCTCTTTGCCGACTATTGCGAGAGTATCATCTCGCGGTACGGGCTCGACGCCCCCGGTACGATCCAGCAGCGTGAAGCCTGCGATATCAAATACGACTACCACATGGATTTATCGCCGACGGAGAAGATCTTCACGGTGACGAATACAGACGGGACGCAGTTCTACAGTCGCACGGTGGTGCTGGCTATTGGACCTGGCCGGAGGAAGATCCTCCCCTTCCCACTCTCTGCGGAGGAGACGAACGGCGCGTGCCATAGCACGGAGATACGGTCATTCCCGAGTCCCAACATCAGGCAGAAGGTCCAGCAGCGGCGGGAGACGAACGTCGTAGTCGTCGGGGGCGGGTTATCGTCAGCGCAGCTAGTCGACATGGCTGTGCGAAAGGGAGTGACTAAAGTTTGGTTTATAATGCGGTCTGACCTTAAAGGTGAGTGAGCCGGCGAATTTCCCCCAGAGGCTGAACGCCGTACTGCCACAGTCGGGATCAACCCGACCCACTGTCAGAACCAAGCTGACAGACCAAACCCCAGTCAAACATTTCGACATCGACCTAAGCTGGATGGGCAAATTCAAAAACTACGAAAAAGCAGCCTTCTGGTCTGCCGACACCGACGAAGAACGCCTCAAGATGATCCAAGCCGCGCGCAACGGAGGCTCCGTCACGCCACGATACCAGAAGGTTTTGAGGCAGCACGCCGCGCGCCACCGGGTCTCGATGCACACCCGCACGGTGATCACAGGCCGGGAGTACAGCCCGGAGACGCAGACGTGGCGTCTCACCACGGAGCCGCCGATCGCCGACCTGCCGGCCATCGACTACATCTACTTTGCCACGGGGATGGGTCTGGACGTGCAGGAGCTGCCCCTGTTGCAGACTATGAGCCGCGATTACCCGATTGAGACGAAGGGGGGGCTGCCTTGTGTGACGGACGATTTGATGTGGCACCGTGAGGTCCCGCTCTTCGTGACGGGGAGGATGGGGGCATTGCGTTTGGGGCCTGGAGCCGCGAACCTTGAGGGGGCGAGACTGGGTGCTGAGAGGATTGCTTGGGGTATGGATGAGGTGCTGGGGCGGGCGGAGACTGAGGATACGACGGCGCAGCGGTCGAAGGAGTGCTTCTGTGGCTTGGGGAATCGATACGCGGGACTAGCGGATGTGAGTTGGTGAGCATCAGCCTCGACTGTCACTGTCCCGGACACGTGGGGCTATCTTTAGGATTGATCCGTGTATCTTGAGCCTAGTGGTTGCTATGGGTGGCTCGAGGGATGAGACTATATCGTGGACATTGTATATACATAGGTCCATAATACAGTGCTGTACATATTTTATCTGATCTGGTATCCATCGTCTAATATTATCGGGTATTCATCGGTAATACCGATACCATATTATAGCACACTAAAGCCTTGACTCCTCAAGAATGATGCTGCCTACCTGACAAAACTTCGCTATCAATCGCTGGACCACATTTCTCCCTCTTTCTTTCATCCTTTCATCCATCCAATCTAGCTACCTACCGACAGACTGGCTGTCACATTCCCTCGTGGCTACAGCCTCCGACAACCCACCAGCCTACCAGGTAACCGACGTCTAAGCCACACTTAGGGTTCCGAGAACCAGACTAATACCAGCCACACTGCGCCACAACCATACATCATCCTCCCCGATCGGCTACCAATTCCAATCACTCACAGTCGACATTCTTGTTCTGATCTATCCTCAGCCACCATTTCACAAGAGACAAGTCAATTAGCTTCTTGTGGCCACAATGTGGAAATGACCAATGTGACAGTGCCACTGCAAAGAAATGACATCGCCATGGCGTATCTTCCTGGTTCACGTGTCACCTGAGATGGCTGCGCATTCTAGATCTGGGAAACATACCCCGTACCTTGGTAGTATACCAGGTTGAAACCAACTACCTTGATGCCAATGGAAGGGAATCCGCAAATCACAGCGTACAAGTTCAGGGGCCCAGGCCAAGTGCTGTTGACAAAGCAGAGGGGGGGGGGAACTGACTGGCCACCCCCTGGGCGGCAAATTCGATCACAAAGTCCCGTCCCAGTCCACAACTAACGAGCTAATGCTATGATGCTATGCGCCCGCCCAGAGATCGTCTGGAATAGCTCCATTCGCGCGATTCGTCGCTTCTTGACGCCGGGTCTGCCCAGTCAGAAACGCAAAGAGCGACGGCGCCAGCGTCATCTCATCTATGCGATGCAGACGCTGGCGCTAAGCGGGGGGCTTTCCAAAGGAGTTGCCGCTGCCGCTGTGGAAGCAGGGCACCATGACTTTTTATTTTTTTTAAAAATGGAAGAAGGGAGGGCAAGAGGCGCCTAGAACTACACAGACAATTGCTCATTGCTGGGTGATGCAACTGTTAATCAATCACGTCTGGACTATTACCTGGGTTATTACCCCACTTGGAATTAAAGTGGCCACTGTTTCCACTCACTACCCCCTTTTTACTGGCACCGCGGGAGATTGTCCACGCAAAGAGGAGGCTGTGCAAAAGAAATCATGGGAAAAAAAAGGAAAATAATGCAACGTGATATCCAATTAATGGAATTACGCCCTTGGCGAGCTTAGGTCACTCGTCTTTTACTCCGGAGTCGCCAGCAGAGATTGATTTGAGAGACATATCGCGCCTTGTCTTTTATCTCTCCCATCGTGTGCTCAAGCCGTCAGCTTTCTATAGAGCTGGCTTCATATTCACTTCACCCACTTCTGCCTGTTCAGACCAGGCTATGAGGAGGCGTTGAAAGACAAGGAACGCTAGAGTCAGAAAGGAACCGACATTCTATTGAATTTACTTTTTCTTTTTTCTCGAATGTCCCGATCTGACCTGCGGGTATCAGCACTGCCTCGTTGAAGAACAGCCCCTCGTTAACCTGCCCATATATGTGAACGCCGTTTCCAGCACCATACCCATATCTACATGCTCGATATCTTTGTGCTCATAACTTCTGTCGGTCGCATTCATGCCGACTTCAAACGAGAGCCATCGCGACCAGTTTCTGGACCCCTTTGCAGGGATTCCAGCTAGTCAGGTGCGTGAAGAAAGAAAAACACTAAAAATAAAAATAAAAAAGCACCCCTAATCCTGCACATTCCACCCTTTATGGCTGAGATGGATCCGTATGTTGATATCTCACAACAGCCGTCTCGGTCGCCCGCTTCAGGGCCTGCGGATACCATATCCACATCACCACCACCATCATCATCGTCATCCTCAGCGATGCCACCACCACCACCGCTAGATACTAACCTTCTTATGGTACAGAATGGGCCTCCTCGCTCGTCTCACTCCATGGATGAGGAGACTCTACGCCCGAGGTCTGACTCGACTATCTCCAACGCCAACACCTATGTAAGATCGAGAACCAACTCTGAGGCCACCACCGCCGTCACCCAGTGCGGCAGTGCGGCGCCCAGCGCATCGGACTATGACGATGTGCACGAGGCCGACGCCCTGAAGCCGGACCCGCGGAATCAGCAGGATTTCGTGGTCCAGGACAACCGCTTCGCCTTTTCGCCCGGCCAGCTCAACAAGATGCAGAACCCCAAGTCTCTCGCTGCCTTCCGCGCACTTGGTGGTCTGAATGGTCTGCAACGCGGCCTACGGACGGACTTGACGTCGGGTCTATCAGTGGATGAGACCCATCTTGACGGAACGATCGACTTCGAGGAAGCCATTTCGACTTCTTCCCCGGATAGCACGAAGCAGCAACAGCACTCGCCGCCTCTCGACGTATCAGCCGCCGATGCCGCCACACAGTTCCACGATCGGATCCGCGTTTTCAGCCAGAATCGACTACCCGCTCGCAAATCGACCGGCTTCTTCAAGCTGCTGTGGATGGCTTACAACGACAAGATCATCATCCTCCTAACGATCGCCGCCGTCGTATCCCTCTCACTTGGCGTCTACGAGACCGTGAGCGCCGGCCACGGCGTCGATTGGATCGAGGGCGTCGCCATCTGCGTGGCCATCATCATCGTGACTGTCGTGACCGCCGCCAACGACTGGCAGAAAGAGCGACAGTTCGCCAAACTAAACAAACGGGTACGCATCACCCTATCTCCCACCCTGATGACCATCCAATTAACCCAACATAGAACAACGATCGAGAAGTCAAAGCCATCCGCTCCGGCAAAGTCGCCATGATCTCCATCTACGACATCACCGTCGGAGACGTTCTCCACCTCGAGCCCGGCGACTCCATCCCAGCCGACGGCATCCTCGTCTCAGGCCACGGCGTCAAATGCGACGAGTCGTCCGCGACGGGTGAGTCGGACCAGATGAAGAAGACGAATGGCCACGACGTCTGGCGGCAGCTTTCCGACGGCTCCGCCAAGAAGAAACTCGATCCGTTTATGATCTCCGGGGCTAAAGTGCTCGAGGGTGTCGGCACTTACGTCGTGACTAGTGTTGGTCCGTATTCGACTTATGGCCGTATCCTGCTGTCGTTGCAGGAGGCGAATGATCCGACGCCTCTTCAGGTTAAGCTGGGGGGTCTGGCTAACTGGATTGGTTGGTTGGGTTCTGGGTGTGTATTGTCTTTTCCTCTTTCTTTTTTTTAAATTCCTGCTAACTAGATCAGTGCTGCCATTCTCTTGTTCTTCATTTTGCTCTTCCGCTTCTGCGCCGAGCTTCCTAATAATCCGGCATCCCCCGCTGTGAAAGGAAAGCAGTTCGTAGATATCCTTATTGTTGCCGTCACGGTCATTGTTGTCGCCATTCCTGGTAAGTGAATTCTCCACACTGTCCAGCAAGAAAATATCTAACCTGCCACAGAGGGCCTTCCATTGGCTGTCACGCTGGCCCTTGCCTTTGCTACCACGCGCATGGTCAAAGAGAACAACCTTGTCCGTGTGCTTCGGGCCTGCGAGACGATGGGCAACGCAACAGTGATCTGTTCCGACAAGACGGGAACATTGACCCAGAATAAGATGACTGTGGTGGCGGGGACTCTGGGTCCTCATCGATTCAACCAGATCCCACTGGAGGACTCCCCTGAAGCTTCGATGAGCGTGACTGAGATCTCTAAGCAATGCTCGCCACGAGTGCGCGATCTAATCGTCAAAAGCATTGCACTAAACTCCACCGCGTTCGAAGGCGAGCAGGATGGCGCGAAGGATTTCATCGGGAGCAAGACAGAAGTGGCCCTGCTGCAGTTGGCGCGAGACTATCTCGGCATGGATGTCACGACAGAGCGTGCGTCTGCGGATATCGTCCAGCTGATCCCATTCGATTCGGCGCGCAAGTGCATGGGCGTGGTGTACCGCGACCCGGTCGTCGGTTATCGCCTGCTCGTCAAGGGCGCCGCCGAGATCATGGCTGGCGCATGCTCGACAAAGGTAGCCCACATGGACCAGGAAGGCATCGCCGTTGACCAAGTCTCGAGTGAGGACCGACGTGCGATGCTCGATCAGATCGAGTCGTACGCTGGACAGTCTCTGCGTACAATTGGCTTGGTGTATCGGGATTTCCCCAAGGTCTCGAGCTGGCCGCCTCAGGATATGCAACGGATGGAAGACGACGCGTCCTCGGCTGATTTCACCGATCTCTTCCGCGAGATGACCTGGGTCGGCGTTGTCGGGATCCAGGATCCCCTGCGGCCCGAGGTGCCGGCGGCTATCAAGAGATGCCACGGAGCCGGGGTGCAGGTGAAGATGGTCACGGGTGACAATATCGCAACCGCCACTGCCATTGCTTCGTCCTGTGGCATCAAGACGGAGAACGGCGTGGTCATGGAGGGCCCGAAGTTCCGGCAGCTGACGGACGAGGAGATGGACCAGGTCATTCCGCGGCTTCAGGTGCTAGCTCGTTCGTCGCCCGAGGACAAGCGCATCCTGGTGGCGCGGCTGAAGCATCTGGGAGAGACCGTTGCCGTCACGGGCGACGGGACCAACGACGGGCCGGCGCTGAGAACCGCTGACGTCGGCTTCTCCATGGGCATTGCTGGAACCGAGGTGGCCAAGGAAGCCAGCTCGATCATTCTGCTGGACGACAACTTCAAGTCGATCGTCACGGCCATCTCGTGGGGCCGCGCTGTCAACGACGCCGTGGCCAAGTTCCTCCAGTTCCAAATCACAGTCAACATCACCGCGGTGCTCCTGACCTTCGTGTCGTCACTGTACAGCAGCGACAACCAGAGCGTGCTCAATGCGGTACAACTCCTCTGGGTCAACCTGATCATGGACACCTTCGCGGCTCTCGCCCTAGCAACAGACGCCCCAACCGAGCAAATCCTCGACCGCAAGCCCGTCCCCAAAAGCGCCTCACTCTTCACCGTGCCAATGTGGAAAATGATCCTAGGCCAAGCCGTGTACCAACTCGCCTTAACCTTCATGCTCTACTTCGTAGGCGAGCGCCTCCTCGCCCCTCTCTTCTACGCCTCAAACGGCCAGTCCACCCCCAGCGCAAACGACATCCAAACACAGCTCGCAACAATCGTCTTCAACTCCTTCGTCTGGATGCAGATCTTCAACGAGTTCAACAACCGCCGCCTAGACAACAAATTCAACATCTTCGAGGGCATGTTCCGCAACTACTGGTTCCTGGGAATCAACTGCGTTATGATCGGCGGCCAAATCCTGATCATCTTCGTCGGCAGCACCGCCTTCGGCATCACCCCGCTCAGCGGCGCCCAGTGGGGTGTTTGCCTCGTCTGCGCCGTCGGTTGTCTTCCCTGGGCGATCGTCCTGCGCATCATCCCGGATGGACCCTGCGGCGTCGCGCTGGATTACTTCGTCCGCGGCATGCGGGTCGTCATGAAGCCTGTTAACAAGACCGGTCGCTTCATCGCTGATACGACTAAGGCTGCTTTCCGACCTATCAACCGCGCACTCCGTCGAAACAACAAGAACGAGCCTACCGCTCCCCAGGACGAGGAACAAACTGTTGCTCTTTCTGACATCAAGCCGGCCCCGAGTCCAAGTCCGAGTCCGACCCCTGAGACGGCAACAGCCCCATCGGTTACTGTCCCACCAATCACTATTACGACCTCTTAACGATTTCTTTTTTTTTGTCTTACATACGGTTTAGCCACTTTGCTAGTGCGGGACGACTCAACCTCAGACCTGCTGCCTCGCGCTGTGCACTGTATTTTTAGAATAGACTCACGACGATTTCTTTGCATATGGGATTTGGGCGGTGGGTTGGCGGTTTCGGTAGGGTGGTTTTTTTATTATTTTTTTTTTTTTTTGTTTATGAGCGGATTTTGTATATTATGTTTAGCGGTTAGAACATACCTAGTTTTTTTAATAACCTATTTATTACATGATCTTCATATACTTGTAGTCTGACTCCATACCTAATGGCCATATCCGCAGTCAGATACATGCAGAAAATCAGTCTTGGCATAGTGAGAGGAGAGTAGACACCTCAGGCATAACTATCCCCGTGCTCCGCACCCGCACCGCCGCATCATCACCGCCCACCTCATCATCGTTCTAGCTCCTCATCCCTCCTTATACACTCCACCAATTTCGCAAACACAATTCAAGCTCTATCTTTCTCTCTGCCTAGCTTTGAATAAAGCTGCTTTTTCTGCAAGCCAGAGAACCTCTACGCTGCGTGTCACCGTCACCACCGACTGGTACGCTCGTCTCCCCGCTCAGGTCAGTAAAGCTGTCAGTGGCATGGCATGGCATGTCTTAACCAGGAGAGTTATGGACTGCTCTAACATTTCAGAAATAGACAGATTATTCTCAAAACCTCATCAACACCTACGCTCTCCTCCAACGAGTCAATCCATCGGTCGAACAACTCAATCCAAACCAACCAACTCAACCCCCTAACACACCCACCCCACCATCCCAAACCACCCAACCAACAACCCAACCAAAGAAGTCAAAGACAAAACCAACCAAAATGGCCCAAATCAACTACCGCACAATCAACGTCGACGCCTTCGACCCCGACTCCAGCGTCAACTTCCCCATGGACAGCCTCCTGCCCGCGACGCTCCCCGCACCCAGCAACGCCAGCGAAGCCGCCAACGTCGCGACCCAAGTCCGCCAGGTCCTCCGCAGCGGCGACGCAGAGGGCGCCCTGCGCTACGTGCTGGACACGGCGCCGCTGGCAGGCGACGACCGCGCCAAGGAAGTCCACATGGCGACTGTGGTCGACGTCCTCCAGGGGATTCGGCAGGGGGAGATGACACGCGTGCTGGACGCTGTGTGCACCGGTGAGGGAGGGTCGGAGAGGGCGGATTGCTTGATGAAGTATTTGTATGCTTTCCCATTTTCTCCTTCTTCTACTTGATGTGGTGTTTTGTGTTAGAAATGCCAGGTGGGGTGGGGTGATGATGCTAATTGTTGTGATACAGGTACAAAGGAATGGGTGGCTCCCAAGCACCCGGCAGCGGAACGCAGACGCCCAAAACCCCCGGCTCGCCGCAACTGTCGGGGGGCTTTACGCAGATCCAGGCGCGCAATTTCGGCGAGGGCGGCAGTGCGCAGCAGATGAGCGTTTTGCTGAGTTGGCATGAGAAGCTGGTGGAGGTTGCTGGGATGGGGACTGTCATGCGGGTTATGACCGATCGGAGGACTGTTTAGCTTGTTTTATTCTTTCTGCACTTCATCTCTTCATTCTTCGTTTCTCTTCTGTTCTGTAAGTAGTGGCTTGTGGTATACATATTGTGATAGAAGGACAGCTACTTGTCTGTGAGTGAATGATATGACATCCTATCTTACCTATTTCTATACGCTATATACTATACACTCCACGTCTACTCCATAGATTAATTATTCTGCTTGAAATCCCCACCACCCAACAAATCCTTCAAATTCAACTCCCCACTCCCCCTCTGCAACGGCTTCGCCTGGCCACTCCCCTCCTTCCACCCAATCATGAAGATCAACCGAAACGTAGCCGGCAGGCCCCTCGCCCCCTCCTCCATATGCAACTGTCTATAGATGGCCTCATTGGCAAGCAGCACATCCCGCGACAGGGCCCCAAACTCCCTATGCAAGATGGCGTTATTCTCGCCCATAGCCTGCAGATCACGCATAAGCGCAAACGTATCAGGATACTCGACGACAATGTCCTCCACGTCAACAGTCTGCATCTTGAAGCCCGCCTTGGTGAGCAGGCCGCCGACGTCGCGCACGTCAGCGAGGGGCGACACGTGCGGGCTGACACCGCCGCGGCGTTCGAGGTCAGCGAGCTGCAGCGACGTGCGCAGCTCGAAGAGCGTGTCGCCGCCGAACATGGCGGCTATGAAGGGGGCGTCGGGCTTGAGGATGGAGTTGACTTGGGCGAGGAGGGACGGGAGGTCGTTGATCCAGTGGATGGAGAGGGAGGAGAGCACGGCGTCGAAGGTGGAGGGTTCGAAGGGGAGGGTTTCGAGGTCGGGGACGACTTGGCGGGTTAGGGAGAGCTCGGTGTTGAAGGGCTCGTCGGCGTCGCGGTTGAGGAGCGCTTCCGAGGTGTCGATGCAGGTTAGGTGCTGGATTTTGTTGGAGAGGGGGGCGGAGGTCGGGGTCGCGGGGTCGGGGTTGGGCATTGTGAGGGCTCGGGCGATGTTGCAGCTGTTGGCGCCGAGGTCGAGGACGCTGGGGAAGTCTCGTTTGATGTCCTTGTTTTATCATTAGCTTTCTTTCATTCTTTGATTCTTGTTCTTTTCCATCTACTATAATGGAAAGTGAGGAGGAACCCACCAGTAACCGCTCACACAACCGTATCGCTACCTCATCCTTAATGTAATCCACCTTGCGACTCTCCTCGACATTGCGCGCCGCGCGGTCCTTCTGCAGGTGCTTCGTCTTGCGATTGAAGACCTCAAAGACCGGACTACCTGGTGTCTGACTGGCGTAGGTTCTGGCCGTCTGATATGCATGGCTTGTGGAGATTGGTCGCGATGCGCGGAAGACCGCCGGGCGGAAAATCCGGAGGGAGAGGGACATGGTGATGTCTCGTCAACGCGCAGCGGTGGAAACTCAAAAACAAGAAACAAATTCTAGACGTGCACTCAATTGTCTAATTAGATGTATGCCATTCCCGTGGGGGGAGAGGAAGTTGTTTGATTGCGGGGAGGAAGGCAAGAAAAAAGTGTGACGTCGATTGGAGGTCGAAGGCGGAAGGAATTGACAGATTGGATTTGTCCGCTCCGCTGGTGGCCTTGGCCTGCCTCAGTATCATACTCTACATCTCTAGTTAGTTTCTTTGCTCATTATCGTTGAGGTCTTGTTCAGGAGTTCTATGTATTCTGCAGTATCCTGCGGACATCCCCTGTCAAAACACCGTCGACATGCGACAGTGGCCGTAGACGAGGATATGGATGGATATATATATTGAGTCTCCGCACTGCTAATGCTAATGCTACTACAGCTGCAAGTGACATCCACCAAACTTTGACGAACTCAATTGTCAAAACCAGTAATCATCTAATCGAATGGTCTATGCGAGTTAACCCGCGAAGATTAGTAGATCCGACAAGTACTGTTCATACATTTGTTCCTCGAAAATGCGATTGCATGCTCAGTATAGTATCAGTCTACGGAGTACAAGAGTAGCCCACACCAGCTTCTCACGCATCACAGCTATTATTGGCTCAATGGATCATTCCAATCCTTACATTGACCAGACAATAGAACGCCATCACTGGCAGAATATAGCCATCCAGGAGACAATTCGCCCCATTCCGCCGACCCATTTTCAGCGCTCGAACCCCCAGGCATCTAGGGATGAGTTACTGCCAAACCTTGTCTATATCGAGGACCCAGGTGGACGGACGGACCCACGTCTCTCCTGTACAGAAGGTGAGGAGGCGTCTTTTGCCTCCGACGGCAATCGGCCGATAGATAGAGGAACAGACAGATCGAGATCAAACAATTGACAGTGAACACAATCCAGCAATCAACCATCGAAGAGATGGATAGATCAAATGATCACCAATGCTTTGCGGCTGTCTCAGTCGCGCGACATGGATGATGGAACCAGAGTCTGAACCAGAAACCTGGAAAAAAACCCGCCCTGGCCGATCGACGGGTTGCATCCGGGCGAATGGAGAGCCGCCGGGCTCCACTGCGGAAGGGATGCTGCAGCCTGCCGCGCGATACCTTTTGGTTTCTCGCGGAATTGTCTGTGCAATGTACTTTTGCTCCAACTTTTGCCTTTCCCCTTCCTTCCCTTGAATTGTATTCTTATCGTGAGGGGTGAAGACACGGAAGGGGCTGACTCCTCGCGTCAGGACGATATATTCAGCTCTTCGTGGAAGAACATTGCAGAACCTTGGGAAATGATCTCCCTGAAGGAGATAATGACTTGTCTATTGTATCTGTTTGCAATGAAAATCATGTTGGCCCGGAAGCAAGGGTAGCGCACCGATAGGATTCGACTTGTCGATGGTTGGACCCCGTCCTTTTCCCAAGACACAACGTATCTGTATCACATTTGAGGATATTCAATTGGTCATGATTGATGGATCAAGCGTACCATGCTCTGATTCTATCAACCTCAGACCAGCAGAGGTGCCCTCGCCCCGACTCCATGGTCCACACCTGATCCAGTGTCTTTCTTTACCTGAGTATCGGCGCCGTCGGCCACTCGGTGAGACGCATGGTCCCCCTGCAATGCTGCAGCTGCACGATTATCATCGCACGATCGGCGCTAAACTCAGAATTTCCGAAAGGCTGAAAGACAATCGCCCCCGACACGCCTCGCATTGATTGCGTCGTGAGGTAGATAAAATGTGTCGCCCGGAGTCTAGACAGTGATTGATGCTTGTTCCTGGATCTCTGGACCCACATCTCATCCAAGGGATCGTGCTGAAGAGCTGAAGCATTCCAATGACACTCATGTTGTCATCGTAATCAAACATGTTTAAGGTAGAGGTTGGACCTGTCGCCATTGCCACCGGCCAGGGGATCCAGGTTACACGGTCCTCCGCAGCATGCCATGGCCGTCCTTGACGTAGGGGGAATGGGGCAATCAACGGGCGGAGTGATTCCTGGGCAAAATCCCCAAAGGATATTGAACGGAATTTGGTCGCCGTCTCCTCTGTCCTCCGTCCGCCATCCTCTGCACTGCGACGGAGTTCTAATTGATAGATACAATAGTGGGCTGACGGGCCGAGGTGGCTGGCGAGACAAAGAAAAGGAAAGAAGGGAGGATCGGGTTCCAGAACCGCGGGTGGATGCGTTAGTGGTTTTTTCCGGGGAACAGTATTTTACTGCATTCTAGGGACTCTCGTAGGTACCTGATACTAACTATCTAGCAGGGCAATCCATTTATTACATGTACTCCATACTCCATAATGGTCAATATAGCGCTCGAGGAATGTCCCCATTTGATCGACTGATTACTCCATTCCAGAGAACCACCGTGGCAAATCCATTCAAGACATCCCCAGAATTAAACATACATCATCATCATCATCATCATCAACATGAACTAGGGATCCTCTGGCAACGGATCATCTCCCCATCCAGAGCGCCATCCCGTGGCTTCAACGCTAAACAAGACCGGCTCCATTTCCGCGTCCCTAGTGGGCGTTCTTCGCATGTGAGCCTCCTCCTTTTCTTCCTTTTTCTTGATTATTTCTTTTCCCTTTGTCTAGGATTTCCCGGCCCTTTGATTCCCATTCTAGGTGGCCTGTTAGTTAGTTAGTTATGGGCTGACAGGGTCTTCCGACACCGGTGAATCATCGAAAGACGGTCTATCGTTTCCGTTCCTGATTCTGGAAGGATTGTCGCTCAAATCCTCCGGTCCAGCAGCTGAACTGGTGATTTTCCGCTGGAACAGAACAGGAACAGGAACTGATGCCCGGAGATTGTGGTGGAGCCCACTAGACTCTAGTACTCTGGATGTATGCTGGAGTACGTGTCTAAAGGCTTACTGACTGGGATCACAATCCCGGGAACCAGGATGGGACGGCATTGAAGGGATAGCACGTGTACTTTTGATATTGATATTAATTAATTCCACCTCTCACGACATGGATTGGTCTCATAATTATTACTGTATGGGCTAGGAGGGTAAGTACTGTCCAGGCTTGGTTCTACTATCTGCAACTGAGTAATAATTCAGATGATGGATCAACCCATCAGATGTCTGGGAGTAGTGTACTTTGTATAACGCGATGGATGCTATACCTGCCTATCTTTCAGTAAACATGTTCACCAAGTGGCGTAGAAGTCTTGAAACTGATAACGTTGAGCATACATACATCATACATACGTTCCTAGGTACATACCTAACACAGCACCCATGGAATCAAATAACTTATAGACAAAACAATCAGCCCACTCCAATCAAACACCGGCTCATTTCCTACTTCCCATCCAATAATAAATGGCTACCTCCCGGCAGTACAACATAACCCGCTCCAGCTAAACAAAAAGCAAGCCAGAAACCAGGAAGTAAGTAAGTACCTAGTAAGGTGTCAGCCGCAGGGTCACACCCGCCTTGCATTGCATTGCATTGCATTGCATCTGCATCTGCATCTCCAGCCAGCCAACCAACCAACCAACCAACCAGCCTGCGGTCGGATCCCCTCCGGGGCTTCTTAGGTTGTGCGCCCTCCCCCCCTCCTTCCGATCCATTGATCTCCCGTCCTGTCGATTTGAGGAAGATCGCTGCAGAACCCGCGGAGCCGGGTACGGGCGAGCACCCTGCGTCCGATGGATTTTTATTTGCTTTTGGGGCTGATCCGATCCCCTGCTCGGCGCTGGCTGCTTTT